TATTGTATTACAGTTAAATAACCCCGGCTGGAAGCCGTCATCTATGCCGTGATGTATTGTAAGTATTGTATTAAAGTGTAGATACGGCTCGGCTGCTACTGTACCCTTGGCCGTGTACGATGGTGTACGTATTTACGCAATCTTTAATCGCGCTGGCTAAGAATAAACTGTATATATACAATAAATTAACATATTTTCCGTGTAAGATGTGGTGGCGCAGGGGAACAACACTCAGCGTATATGCTTAATACAGAAAACTTTTTTCATGAATTGGTTGATTTAATAAGAAATGCTGAACAAAGTCGCACTCATTGTGACTCGCCAGACATTTATTGTCGTAGATTAGAAGAGTATGAACGCACATTGAGACTCAATGATTGAGTGTTTTAACAACAAGAATCACCGAAGCATACACAACGGAGCAGTTTTTAATCAACAATCTACATATACTATGTACTTATTTAAATAGTTTACGGAATGAATTCGACGTTATTGTTGAAAATTACGAACGGACCTCAGAGCGCTTTTCATGAGAAGAGTCTTTATACGATCGTGCGGTTTGTACGGCGGAAAGAAACGGGCTCGTTGGTAGGCCAAGAATACAAGTCACAGAAGAGCAGTTAACCACATTGCTTTTTAAGTTTAGATATAGGTAATGAGAACCATATTGGTGTCCTAGTAATAAATTTATGCCACAATAGCAAATGTTAGATCAAAAATGTAGTGTGAAATATGATAGTGTGATGGCCTCGTGTTCAGTGGCACAATTTATGCTTGTGAAAATAATGTTGTATTTGTCAATTTGATAAGCCTGAGAATAAAAAAAACCACTTGTATATGTATAAATGTGAACCTAAGAAATATAAGTGTAGGTGTAGACTTTTGGAATATAAAATTGGAGATGCGTGTGTGAAATTGTATCGGTAAAATATCCTGTGGTGTAAAAAAATTTGATCATACTCAAGGAGTATGATCTCGCTGTACTAAAAAGTTTGTATGGAGGCATGTAAAATATATAAGGCGAGAGAAGGAGATAGTCATGTGTGTAAAATTCAGTATCCCTGAAAGGCTGGCTGCGGCACAGACGCATTATTTGGTACACACGAATTCTGAGTACGTGGTATTCGGAAACGAGAATTCAGTTCTTCGGGTAACGATGTGAACTGCTGCACTGAACCACCTTGTCCTTGTGATGCGTTTTCTTCACCTGTTTGCGAAGAATGCTGCAAATTGATCACCGCGCTGAAGATAGACTGAACAAAATCCTGAACATTTGCTATTCTGCTCTGTCTCTCTTCTGCCATGTTTTTCAATATATATTCACCAGCTTGGCGCCACTACTTGGCACGCGCAATTTTGCTGCGTCGCTCAACTTCCGTTTTTCCGATTTACTTCCGCTTCCTCATCTTTTATTGGTATTTACTTCCGTTTCCTCATCTTTTATCGGTATTTACTTCCGTTTCCTCATCTTTTATTTGTATCGGTTTATCTTTTAGTTGTATCGGCTTATCTTTTAGTTGTATCGGTTTATGACATCGATGTATTTGCACATAACATCAATGTATAGCACATAACATCAATTTATAGCGCATAAACTCGATTGATACATTTCAGATATTTTGTCCGCTAAAAAACTTCATAGAAATGAATGATAAAATGATAGGAATAATGGCATCAGCAGTCATTTTCAACGTTTGTGGCAAATATACGCAAACTTTTGAAAACGTCTGTGTGTGGAATGCCGTCGAAAACATTGGGTTGACGTTTTCGTGTGGGCGCATAAAAAAGGGGAACTATTTTGAAAGCGATGGAATTGTGATTCAACATTATTAATATCTTTATGTAGTATATAATTAACATGGGTTTTTGTTTGGTGGCCCAACCGTGGCGGTCCCGCCGGGCCGGGACTAACAATTTCCAAAAAAATGAGGAAATGTTTTATAGTGGAGCCAAAATCACAGCTTTGCTTATTCTGAAAATTTAAATATTAATTATGATCATTTTAAAGTTTATGCAATATTTCTGTCTGCTCTTTGACCTCTTTGTTGTCTAGCAACTGATACCCTGCAGAATTAGCTACATTTTATAAAACAACCTCGTTCCCAGGGTCTCTCCTTCTGTCCTTGCATTTTTAAACGCTTAAAGGGGCAGTATCATCCCAAATCATGTTCGATTTTAAATGTGTAACAGACAGTAATAACATTTACTTACCCGAATATGAAAATAAAACCAATCAGTTTGACTTTTAATTCTCTTAAGAACTGTCCAAAAACAAAATATTTTACGAAAAATTCGTCCGCCATTAAGTTATTGGAGCCTGCAAAATCCGACCTGCGGTTAAGCGCTGTGACGTCATCTACTCAACACGCTTCTTTCCCGAAGGAGAAATTAATATTATCAAAGGCTTATACTAGGCTGTTTTTTGTTCAAAATTATGTCTTCTGACGAAAGCTACAGCTCCAATTTTGCAACACAATCATCTTGCGAACTCTCTTTTGCCGAAAACGTTTCTTATGATAGCGGGGGTGATATAAATATGGAGAAAAGTGTGGATTTGTGCGAGGCCTATGATACTTCAGTCGAACCTCTTGCCACTGGAGAAACAATACATGAAGAGTACTATAACTGAGAGAGAGCAAAAGCAGCAAACACTGTCTGCTAGATTGTCTGGTGAAACCTCAACTGACACCTGGTACGTTTTGGATTGTATTTATTCACGTTTTGGTTATATTTGTGACATAAAACAAACATGTGATGGCCATGTATTAAAACAAAACAAATGGTTACTGATCTCCTTATAAAATGTTATTGTCACTTCCGTTATTGCACGAAACGTCTTCAATGAGAGATGGCTTAAAGATGACTGTGTTGCCAAATTGGAAATCCTACTCACGTAAGAAAACATTAATTTACACAAAGTTGTGGGAAATATACTTCAATTGTATACTTCAATATATATTAATGGTCCATAGGTGTAAATGTGGCAACTGTGTCAGGGCCTTTGTGGTAAAACCCAATGAATGTTGTTGTTTATGTGAACCTTGTAAGGAAAAAATGCTGGAAGAAAACACGCATGACCGCTGCTTAACTGAGCATCCAGCATTTGATGTTGGGTGTTTGAACCATTGGGTGTTAAAACTTGCTGGTTTAAGTTACAAAACCCAAATAAAAGGCTGCCAAAATTATACCACTCGGTATACCGAAGGGAAAAAGAGTGAACCAGAGTAAGTATTTCAATGTGTATTTCAATGTGTATTTCTAGGCAATACCCCCCCCCCAATGGAAGAGATTTACTTTATGAACCCCCATCCCTCTGGATTT